ACTTGTTATTGTCTGGAATGAATTCATCCCTGTTGAATGTGCCAAACTAAAGGGAATCTACTTCCAGTTTTCTGCCCTGAATATCCAAACCATTTCCAGGCAGAGTTTACTGGAAAATAATGATTTAGGGACGTAACACAGAGCTATTGCCAGGATATATGCTTCTACTAGAGTATTACCAACATTCTTCAAAAGTTCTGAAATATATCATCATTACCATCTGTTATGTTGTACAAAATGGCACTGGTTCCGGGCTCTAATATGCAGCTCTCCAAGGTTGGGCAGTGGATATGTAGGCAGTTGACATTGTCATGAATAGGATCATAGAAGAAGACAGCCAAATTACAGGAAACTGAAAAGGAAAGAGACAAAGTACATCTGTAGAAGGTCTTGGTTTCCATCAGTTTGATGAGCTCCGAATAACTTACATTTCTTTCAGAAATACTAGATTAACACTATATTGCAGAACTATATTCAGACTTTTTTTTTAATGTACTAGAGATTGAACTCAGGGTAACTTAACATTGAGCCACACCCCCAGCCCTTTTTATTTCTTTTTATTTTTTATTTTGAGAGGTCTTGCTAAGTTGCTTAGGGCCTCACTAAGTTGCTGAGGCTGACTTTTTTCTTTTTTGGGGTTCTGGTCTGAGAGAACTTTATTTACAAAAACAGGTGGTAGAATATTTTTACAAATGTTTTAATTTGTTCTAATTCATTATACATGATAGTAGAGCTGAGACTGGCTTTGAACTTGTGATCCTCCTGCTTCAGCCTCCGGAATCCCTAGGTTTACAGATGTATGCCACCATACCTAGTTTATGTTCACACATTTCACAGAACATTATGAATTACTGTAATGGCATTTATGAATATTAAAAAATGCCTTTTGAAAGGAATTGAAAGGAAAACATCCCTTAATTTTCTCTAAATAATCTTTCACACATTCCATTCCAGTTGGATGTCTAGAATCATTATTTTCTAGTCTCAGTATTTTGTACTCATGAAAAATTTAGTTGGCTACAAAAATCTCTGGGAACTTATATTGGTTTCTGGGTGCAATGACCTCATAGAATGCTAAGGTGCTCAGGCCCACCAGAGAGAGAAATAGGAAAATAAAGGAAAAAATTCTGTAACCTAAGAAGAGGGAGTAACAGGAAGGGCAAAAGAATAATGAGATTACTGGGAGAAAGCCAAATGATGGAAAAGCAGCAGGCCAAGTGACCCTGACTATGGGTGTGCACTAGCCCTGTGTGCAAAAAAATTGCATCCAAGGAAAAGCCTAATCAGTGTCAATTAGAGTGGCAGGCCGTGGATATGCAGCAGCATTGGCACACAGATTGTAGTGATGAAGCACATCACTTGCTCATGCTGCCTCCCCTTTTCTAATCAAATTTGTTCCTCAAAAATGTGCTATTTTCTGGAAAACCTGAAGTCAGATTTGTTGGATGCAAATCTTCAGTCAGATTATCTATCTTCCCTAAAATGCAACAGATTTTGCTTTTGCTCCAGTGTAGTCATAACCATGTGAAATATTCGTTGGCCAAAAGGTATCAAATTATTTAATAAAATTAGACTAGAGAGGGGCAGTTTATGGTTACCAGACCCCACAGCACGTCTTAGCTGTGGAATCGCTGCTGGTAGATACTGTATCACTTCTGTGTAAGGTTAACTATAAGGAGCGGCATCTCCACCATTACTTCTGGGACACCCTCAGCTTTCTGCATCCTTATTTTTCCAGAAGAAGAAAGAATAGGACAAAAGTTAATGAATAATACATTGCTAATACATTACAGATTATAAGTATAATCTCTAAGGACTGTGAGGTAAAGTTTTAAGGGAAAGGTATTAAAAA